GGTTTATAGGGTTTAGAGGGTTTAGGGATAGTACCGTAGAGCAGTCCGGGCAGGTCTCGACTCTCGTAGAGCTTGCAAGTCTCTTGAAACAGCTGCTTTGTCTTCCTCACGGCGCATCCACACGCGCGCTTTCTTCCAGGCAACGGTAGTCCGGAGCATCATCGCTGAAGGTGCCATGCCGGATGGGCAGCACGACGCCATTCACATCTGATTCAACCAGCTGAGCCACAGCCACAGGCGCTTCATAGGCATGCAATGGCAGGCCTTTAGCTGCTGTGTGGCAATCAGGCACAGGCCGACCTCCGGATGCATTGGAGAGGGCCCACGTCCAGGCAAAGCTTCACCCGAGGTTGCATCAATAATCTGTGCAAGTAAGCGCGTGCATGTGGGCGGTTGTCAAAATTATGGTCCTTATTATAATACGGCACCTATTATTTAGGGTTCCCCCAAGGGACCATAATTTTGACAACTACCCATGTGAGTGAGTGAGTGTTTGTGTGCTTAGGGAATGAGGGAACCTCGTTTTGAAGCTCGCGAAATGCCAAGGCTTCGGGTTGAGGTTGTATAATCCATACTTTGGTTAATGTTTTTTTTTTGCAGAAGGCTTTTCAATACTAGTTGCTTAGGATTTCGGGTTGTGGAGTGCGTTCAAACTACTCCGGTTTAGGGTTGTGGAAACCACTGAATACAAGCCGTTTCCGACCGACGGAGCGGACCCTACTAAACTACTAAACTGGGCTTTGAAGTAACCAGGGAGAAAAACGTATAGATTTTTATTTCATAATGGTTCTTTTAAGGAACAGGTCCCAAAAAAAGTACTAAAGACGGGTACTCCAAAGCCCAGGAAACTTCAGATCCTGAACTCGCAGCCGCACCTGAACTCGAAGCTTGTAGGCTTATAGGATCCTTAAGGGAGGGTGGTTCAAGGGGGGAAGGTACAAGGAATCCTTAGGGGGCTCCAAGGGAACCTTTAGGGAGCACTAGGGCGAAGTAAGGATCATTGGGTTTTTCTACCCCCAATGAAAAGCCCGCTCCCTTAAACATCCTATAAGAAGCCGCAGGAATCCCAATGCAAAGAAACCGTTTCAGAGGAGGGGGTCCTCTGTCTCCGACTGCACGTTGGGTGGCCTTGCAGCGGCACAGAAACTTTGATTGGAGCTTCGGGCTTAGGGTTTTAGGATTTTAGGGTTTATGGAGCTTGTCGGGCTTATAGGGTCTATAGGGTTTACGGTTTTAGGGCTTGGGGCTTAGGGTTTAGGGCTCAGGGTTTAGGGTTTAGGGACACGGAGCTTAGGGTTTGGAGCTTCGGTGCGAAGGGCCTGGCGCTTATGGGGCCTGGAGTTTAGGGCTGAGGGCTGAAAGTTCAGGTCTCAGAGTTTAGGGTTTAGGGTTACTGAAAAAATTCGGTCTTAGGCTTCAGAGTTTTAAAGGGCTGAGGGTCTGCCGTGATGACCCTTACACGCAGAGGCTCGATACCCTTATACCACGGATCCCTCCATGTGGTCTTTGAGCCGTAAGCCATTTCAGGGTACACTTCGTCCTTAAAGTTTCAGATCCGATTAGAGTTTCGGGCTCAGGGGGTAGGGTTAGAGGTCTGAAGGCTTAGCGCTTGGCAGGCTGAGGGTTTGGGGCTTCGGGTTTTGGGTTTTGGGGGCTTTGCGGTGAGTTTCTGGAATTGGTTGGGATAGGGCTTGGAGTTTGAGGTCAAGTGTCAGGGTCTTCGGCTTGAGCGACAGGGTTCAGGGCTGATTTGTGGAAATGCACCCTAAACCCTAAACCCTAAACCCGAAACCCTAAACCCTAAACCCGACGATCGTTCAGCGGCTTCCGGAGCCGTTTTGTGGATCCCTTCCCCGGGTCGGTCGAAGTAGGTCAGCTCTGAGCCCTCAGCCGCGTCCCTGAACCCTAAGACCAAGGACCTGAACACTAAACCCTAAGACCGTAGACCCAACCCCTAAACCCTATATCAGGGTTTAGGTTTAGGGTTTAGGGTTTAGGGTTTAGGGTTTAGGGTTTAGGGTTTAGGGTTTAGGGTTTAGGGTTTAGGGTAACCCAAAAACCTGGGATCTATACACTTTGCCCAAAGATCTTATACCTAAACCAAACCCCTGAACCCTTCGACCAAAGTCGCTGCTGCTGAGTCCCAAGCAGCTGCCGTTGTCGCGGCGCTGATGCAGCACGCCTCAAGAATCGTAGTATCCCTAGGCTTCCAGGGACCTTATTATTGGGTCCTTAAGGGGTCCAGGGCCCTAACTATAAGGTCCTTGGAAGCCTAGGGTATGTTTTTGTTTGAGTCAAGATGATCAAAAACCGCATTTAGAAACATGATCTTGAAGAACCTGGAACCCTAAACCCTAAACCCTAAACCGACTTCTTCATGAAAGCTCATAAATAGAGGACCAGGGGCAGGGAGCCCGCACTTCTCTGAAAACCCTCCCGGCGGTTGGGATGCCTAAGCCCAAAACACTAGCCACTAGTCACTAGACATTCACGGTTTAGGGTGTAGGGATGACATGTGATAGTGGATGAGAGCTCCAGGTTTAGGCAGACTAAGCATCCAAAGCGAAGCGCTCGACGATCTGGGACTTACTAAGTAGTTTGTGGACCCTTTTAAGTACTCGATAATCTGGACCATAGACATAGTATATATATATATATATATATATATATATATTTATACAATAAGTAGTGCGTAAGTGGAGTCTTTACAACACACTCAGCCTAATTAAGGCTCCATTGTCCCTTCTGGCATATACATTGGCACCCAGGTAAAATATGTAGGATCCCCCCTCCCCCCCCCGAAGCCCTAAGTATAGACTAGATTTGTGCGCACGGATCATGGCTCACTTTGCATCCCGAGGTCAAGACGCGCGCCCCGGCTTGTCATCGCTGCTCCCAGAAGATGCGCCTGCAGTCGGGGAGGTTGACTCAGTTGAGGAGGCTGCTGCAATCTCGCTGGATATGACCACTACACTGTCATGACAAAAGTCATACTCCAGATAGTAGCCCATGCCAATGATACTAATGCAGCTGTTGTAAGCTGATGCCGACAACAAGCGAACGAGCTAAGCTGGACGGTAAGGTTACCCATGTGACTGCTTCTGCCGTGTGGGCACTGACATCACCGCGATACTATGTGACAGGAGAGCCCTTCACTCTCAGGGGGCACTCACGCGGCTGAGGGTTCAGGGCTGAGGGTTTGGGTTAAAGGAAACTACAGGTGGGGAGTTTAGGGTATATAGGGCTTCTATAAGGCTCCTATAAGGTATATAGACCTTCTATAACGGCAACTACCCAACTGAAAATGTCCTAGACTGGGTTGCCTGAATAGCAGTCCGAATCTTGAGCTTGCCAGGTTTAGTCTAGACCGCAAGCCTATTGAACGTCAAAAACTCCTTCCCTGTCAGGGCATGAGAATAAGGATCCCTATTCTAGTCCTAAACCCTATAAGCCCTAAGCCCTAAATCCTAGATCGTGGAGTGGGATTTGTTGATCAGGGGGTCGTCTCCAAATCATGGTAGGAGGCTGAAGCGGTAGATAGGGCTTAAGGTTTAGAGTCTATAGGGCCAGGGCTTTGAGGTCGCGGGTCAGGGTCGCCGGCCTTGTATCCCGATTCGCCGACTTGCTTGGCGACGCTCGCCCTGAGAGGACATGCCGTAGACTCTCTGAGCCAAAGATGGGGTGTAGGCGGTGCAGGGTTCTGCTAGTCTCGTTTAGGATTTAGGGTTCAGGGTTTAGGGTTTAGGGGTTTAGGGTCTAGGATTTGGGGTTTAGGGTCTGGGGTCTAGGGTTTAGGGTTTAGGATTTGGGGTTTAGGGTAACTGGCATAATGCCGAGGACTCATGTTGGAGTCTAGCAGGCCAGCTGCATCAGGGAAGGTACCCAAAGGCTCCATGTACCCTTATAGTAGTTACTTAAGCCTTAAAGGGGTCCCTATGTAGGTACTTTAGGGCTTAAGTATCTACTATAAAGGTACATGGAGCCTTTGGGGTAGACCTACACCCATCTCCTGTTCTTCGAAACCCTTAGCGCTAAACCCCTAACTAAATCCCTAAACCGTAAACCCCAACAGGCTTTAACGTCCAGGGTTCAAGGGTTGTCGGAGATCGGATCTACAGTTTAGGGTATGTTTACTTGGAGGCCCAGGGGACTTAGTAAGTAGGTTATAAGTACCCTAAATGGAGCTACCCTAATTATAACCTTACTTATAACCGACTTACTAAGTCCCCTGGGCCTCTAAGTAGGGACACCTAACTTCGGAGGGGAGGTGCGGCACATCCAAATTTGTGTGACAAGCCGAAGGGGCAGACCGAAGGGCCATATCATCTCATGTCGGGTTTAGGGTTTGAGGTTATAAGTTATAAACCCCTAAACCCTAAACCCTAAAACACAAGTCAAACCTGTGCTGTTGCTGCAGGCTCTTGTCGAGGGAGTTCGGTAAGCCGGTGAGGAATGGCAGTTTCGTTGCTGCAGTTGGACTGAGATCCGAGTGACTTTATCCAGCAAACCCTAAACCCTAAACCCTAAACCCTAAACCCTAAACCGCATTGTCGGGCAAGTCATTCTGGTAGAGCTCACCATCCTGCCTTAGAGCTTCCACCTTTGTCTGAGCTGATGGAGGAGGCAAGTTGGAAGGCCTGCCGTGGGGAGGAGCTCCCTCCTAGACCGGAACTCCCGACGACCTGTGCCTTGGACAGAGGTTTAGGGTTTAGGGGTTTAGGGTTTAGGGTTTAGGGGTTTAGGGTTTGGGGTTTAGGGCTTAGGAGCCGGAATCGCTGGCCGACCTCAGTGGCGCCAGACCCGGGCTAATCTTTGCATAGGCAATCGTATCTTCGTCTTCAGCCACGGACCAAGTGCCAGCAATAATATCTGAACCAAACGAAGCGCCCTGGAGCCCTGAATCGTCACTCCTACAGACCCACGCGTCCGAACCATGAACTGGCCCCAACACCCTGAAATCCAAAGCCTAAACCATACAGCGGACCGTAAACTGGCCTGGAAGCCTAGATTCTAAACCTACAAATCCAGGGGGGGGCTGTCGGAAATCGCCGAAATCCTACAGTCGTCGTGAGGGTCCCATAAGCGTTGCGGATTCAGGGTTTTGGGCTTTAGGTTAGGGAGACACCCCTACAAAAGAGTATAACCTCCCAAGTAGCGAAGCCCACCAGGGCATACTGTATCCTACCCTGGCCCAATCGAAATGAGGTTGAAGCTCTAATATAGAAGCCTAAATAATTACCTTTAGTATTTTGGGGGTTCCTTATATAACTATAGTATAACATACACCAAACCCCTATTCTAATTATAAAGGCCCCTATACTACCTCCCAGACACAAACACCACCAAAAAGCAAATGAAGTACACAATCCCCATATATACCCTGCACTCCAAGTGCTTAAGGTATACCCAGGGACTACTGAACCACAGCATTAAGAGGTATACCTTCAATCACAACAGGGATGCCTCCGTATTTTTAAGTTGTATACCAAGGTATATAACACCTATACATATACATACATGACATATGCATATGCATATGCATATGCATATGCATATGCATATGCATATGCATATGCATATGCACATGCACATGCACATGCACATGCACATGCACATGCATATGCACATACACAAACATTTATGTGTGTGTATGAATGCATGTATGTGTCAACTGAAAGGTTCTGCAGTCTCTGGATATTCCAGAAGCCAAATCCCAGCCTGCCAGATCCCTTCCTGCTCCCGCAGAAGGGTCTTGGCCGGCTTGGGCAGAGCCGCGCGGGCTGCCGCAGCACGGGCCGTCTGCGCCCTGTCGTCCTGGGTTTAGAGATTTGGAGTTAAACAATGACGAATACTATTTTGGGAGTTCCTTATCGTAATTATAGTATAGTGGGCCCCAAAACCCTATTATTCTAACGATTAAGGCCCTGCTATTATAGGGTTTAAGAGTCCAAATCCTAAACCCCAAACCCCTAAACCCTAAACCCTAAATCCCTAGACCCTAAACCCTAAACCTAAACCCCTAAATCCTAGACCCCAAACCCTAAATCCTAAACCCCAAACCCCGAAAGCCCGAAAAAGTCTCACCGAACCCCGGCGGCACCTCGGAGCTGCCACTGGGCCCGAAATCCAGCACCTGCACTGCGTACTTAGGGTTTAGGGTTAAGGGTTCAGGGTTTAGGGTTCAGGGTGTAGGGTTTAGGGTTTAGGCTTTTAGGGCACTTCAAATCATTTCCATAACAGTGATAAATAAATTGGTGCTTTGCTCCACAAGCAAGAATAGGTGACACGAGCGCCAAATATCGTCTTGCCAACTGTTCGGGCTCAGTTTACTGCAATGGGGACAGGAGGTCTTTCGAGCTTCGGGCCAAAACGATTCAGGGCTCTTACAAATTAGCCAAAGACTCCCTGCCAACAAGACACGGACTGACCCTCCTCGGATAAGGAAGTCATCGAATAAGCTCACAGGCTTTTCATGATGCTATCAGTGCTTCTTTGGTTGTTTTGGCCTCCATAGACGAATACTTCCCCTGTAACTATGCAAAAATCCTGAATGCATGGTGCATACTACTGGGATTCCAAGGAAAAATAAATACATACTTTGGTGCATACTGGTTCGTGTAAGGAACAAAACAAAAACGAAAGCTGCAATTCTTAGGACACTGCGACGACTAGGAGGACTGCGACCACGACCACGACGACCAAGACGATCACGACCACTACGACCACCAGGACCTTCACGACGACCAGGAGAAGCACGACAACCAAGATGACAACGACCAGCAAGACCACCAAGAGACAACCCGCACACCAGGAGAGAATTAAATCCTTGAACCTAGGACCTTCGACTTAAATCACATCATAAATCGGTCTCAATCTCTCATCCCTAAACCCCAAATTGAGACCGTAACCTCTAGAACAGAAGCCTGAACCACCAGCAGATAACCCTAACAACCACAACCCCTCAGCCCCTAAGCCCCGAAACCCCTCGGTCCCAGTTAAAGGAAACTACAGCCGGGGAGTTTAGGGTATATAAGGCTTCTATAAGGCTTGGATAAAGTATATAGACCTTCTAAAAGGCTCTATGACGGTAACTACCCACCTGAACCCTAAGCCCTAGACTGAACCCCTAAACCCTAAATCCTAAACCCCTAAACCTTAAACCCTAAACCCTACCTGAACCTACCCAAACCTACTTTTTGTAGGTTCTTATTATAAACCCTAATGTGGAATTTATAGGGACCCTACAAAAAAATAGGTTTCGGTAGGTTAAGCTAAACCTATAACGGTAACTACCCACCTGAAAATGTCCTAGACCCAGGGCTCTAAACCCTAAACCCCTCAACCCTTCAACCCTAAAAACACTAAACCCCTGGAACCCCTAAACCCTAAACCCTAAAAACCCTCAACCCCAAACCCCTAAAAACCCTAAACCTAAAACCCCTAAACCCTAAACCCTAAACCCCTAAAAACCCTCAACCCCAAACCCCTAAAACCCTAGACCCAGGGCTCGCACCAAGTGAGGCCCCCAGGCGGACTGACTCGCCGGAGCCGGGGCCGGCCCAGTCGGTACTGCAACGATTTTAGAGGGTTTAGTTTTTTTTTTTAGTTTTTGGGGTTTTAAGGGTTTGGGGTTGAGGGGGTTTAGGGGTTTTAGTTTTTAGGGTTTTAGGGGTTTTTAGTTTAATTAAAGGGTCTTTAGGGGTTTAGGGGTTTAGGGTTTAGGGGTTTAAGGTTTAGGGTTTTTAGGGGTTTGGGGTTGAGGGTTTAGGGGTTTAGGGTTTAGGGTTTTTAGTTTTTTGGGTTTTTAGGGGTTTAGGGGTTGAGGGTCTAGGGGTTTACGGTTTAGGGGTTTAGGGTTTAGGGTTTAGGGTTTATAGGGGTTTAGGGTTTAGGGTTTTTTGGAGTTTAAGGTTTAGGGTTTTTAGGGGTTTAGGGTTTTTAGGGTTTAGGGGTTTATAGCGGTTTAGGGTAGGGTTTAGGGTTTTTAGGGCGTTTAGGATTCTTAGGGTTTTTAGGGGTTTAGGGTTTAGGGGTCAAAAGGGGTTTGGGGTTTAGGGGTTTAGGGGTTCAGAGTTTAGGGGTTTAGGGGTTAGGGTTTGGTACAATGAAGAAAGAATCAAATGAGCATCTGCAGACATGTTTAGGCTTTGTTTAAGCTCTTGTTTGTTGGGAATGTGTGTGCATGTGTTGGAGCTGGGGGCTGTTAGGGTTAGCATTGATTAGAATATTACTCGGACCCCCAATAACCTAGGGATAAAAAGTGCACTGTTTGTGGTATTAAGTAACCACAAAAGGGGAACAATGGCCCACCGGCAGACGTAGAATGCGGCTTTGAAGTTTTAGCGTCTGCAGTTGCAGCATGCCCTAAACCTCAAACCTAAACCCGAAACCCTTATAAACCCCAAACCCTTATAAACCCTAAACCCTTATAAACCCTAAACCCTTTCAAACCCTAAAC